CGGGTATAGTGTTTAAATTCGGGGTATAGTGTACAAAATATGTGAAAATGAGCTTAGATTTGCCGGCTAGTTCTTTTCTCATGCCCTCTTTTATTAGCGCCACTGCGGAGGTCATGGAACTGCAGCCGAGGCACAGTACTAGGCGGGACAAGTATCCAAGCGCAAATCTACGCCGACTGAACACGCACCATAATTCAACTTTTACAGTCTCAAAACTGACGTATTCCTCTAACATTTACCACAGATTCTATCTCGATGCCATGCACAAAACAATATCTGCACCCTTCTCTAGTATTGTGCAGCACTACTTTGTGCCCGGACTACTTTTGACTACGGGGTTCGCCCATAAATACTGTGTTGTGCGGCCTTAAAAGTAATTACGGATCGCCGTGGCTATATACACACCGGGTGTGTATATAAAAGACAAATTAGATTTTATATACACACCGAAATACTAGCCTCCTTGATAGGCCCAAAACCTGGGTTTTTGTGAGTGTTTGAGGATTCAGGGGCACCAAGTTTAAACCTCAGTCTTCATTTTTGTTTTGATAACCCCAGGCCTGAAGTATCTTGAGCAAAGTTATGTAGAGATATTTGAGCAAAGTTATGTAGAGTGACATTAGACTGTGAACACTTTAAAGAAAAGACACCAACGTAACCAAAGTAACCAACAGTGTCTTTTGATAAAGCTTACGCATGTACTTAGCTTTGGCTACATTGATCACAGTATGTTTGTTCCACTAGAGTTACTCAGTATTAAAAAGGAGCTGACCTCAAACACCTGGAGTCAGTGTCTCTTTTTAGTAATAGAAAAGTTTATTGCAAATTCCTGCCAAAGGCTAATTGCAAGTGACATAAACAAAAGAACATTGAAACAGAGTAAAGAAGAACTTCAAAATCTACATGATAAAATGTAATACATCTTAGAAAACTATAGCTATTTCTAAAACTATGTCTGAAGGGTTTGACTTCTCTTTTGTAGACCACGGAAGACGTAATATTTAGTAATAGTATAGACAATTAAGCCATGCACGTGCAAGTTTAAACTGTCTCAGGGAAACTGCGAATGGCTCATTAAATCAGTTATGGTTCCTTTGATCGTCACATCCTACATGGATAACTGTGGTAATTCTAGAGCTAATACATGCGGAAGAAGCGCCGACCTCACGGTCTGGCATGCATTTATCAGACCAAGAAGACCAACCCGGGGTTCGCCCCGGTCCCTTTGGTGACTCCGGATAACACAGCCGATCGCGCGGTCTTCGCACCGGCGACAGATCATTCGAATGCCCTATCAACTTTCCGGGAGTGTATATAAAAGACAAATAGGAGTGTATATAAAAGACAAATAGATTTTATATACACTCCCGGAGTGTATATAAAAGACAAAAAGATTTTATATACACTCCCGGAGTGTATATAAAAGACAAATAGGTTTTATATACACTCCCGGAGTGTATATAAAAGACAAACAGATTTTATATACACTCCGGGAGTGTATATAAAAGACAAATAGATTTTATATACACTCCGGGAGTGTATATAGCCACGTTCCAATTTTATAGCAGGAGGACTCCTGTCCCCATGTATGTGAATGTCTTTGAGTAAGAACAAGGACATTATATATACAGAACAGACCATATACGAAAGCAGACGTTATGTATTTGCTTTGCAAATGTTACCTGTCTAGGTTTTGTTGCTTCTTTTGGACAAGGTTTGGGAAATAAGCTCATTGTTTTGGCCTGGACAAGAACATACGACACCTACATGTAGTATATAGCATGTCTTATTGCTATCAATTATTCCTTTTTTCCAGGCTGCGACTATTACTGGATGAAGGTTGTGAGTTTCTAGAGCTGTCCCCTCTGGCTGGGATGGGGATGGAGTATGGAGATATCCCAGCAGCAGGCATGGTCACTGGTCAGTCGTCCCATTCCTTATGTACTAATTTCCCCATAGACAGGATAGCAATTGTTTAGCAAGAGGAAGTAACTAGTCTATACTTCTAGTACTGCATTTTACTAATAACTGTATTGTAGTCTGTAATGTTACAGTTCTGCATATCAGCATTGTAACAGTGAGCTAACCCTTTAAATAGGAGTCATAGGACATAAAAAGATAAGCAGAACTAGGTACTCGATATCTAAAAATGGACTCTTACTGCGTTTATTCAGTTCTCTAGTTAAATGCCTGTTTGCAAGTCGTTGTGACCTTGACATCAATACAATTGGAAAAATGCTAGAACAGAAACAGGATGTTGACCAGGACCCCAGTTTCATTTCTGTAATTGATTTCATTCATGATCAGTGCCTGTTTTATATTGGGGCTTTTGTTATGTTTACTGAAGGAAAACATACTGTTTTTGCTCAGTTTGTTCCTCTTCTTCTCCAGACCAATAAGGTCAATGACCTGATCCAGGCATCTATCACCATAGTAACTAGTGTGAACAGATGGAGGGATGGAGATTGTAAAAAATTCTACTTGTTGCAGGGATTGGTGTAGTGAGCGGCGTACGCTGTCTGGTGACGGGCCACGATGCCACGGTGAAGGGCGGAACGTCCTACCCCATCCAGGTGAAGAAAGGACTGAGGGTACAGGAGATCGCTCAGGAGAACCACCTGCCATGTATCTACCTGGTGGACAGTGGAGGGGCTTTTCTACCTTTACAGGTGAGTTACCCATAGCAATCCCAGTATTACACAAAAGCAAAACAACACAGAGTAGCCTTACCAGATGAAACTCATCTTATGCCTGCACTGTGCCAATTGTGACATTCCAACCCAAATTCCTACAAGGCTCTACCATTCAACAAATATTGCTACAGATAGTCCTACTTCCCTCAGACCACGAGGGATAGGAACACACATCCTCAGGTCATAACAGAAATCACAGAGCCTGACAACTTCAAGGAAGCCATACTCTTGTACCTGAGGAAATAATAAGGGTGCAGTGCACTCCCCCCCGTGCTTCTTAGTCCAACAGAGGGGTGTTGCATACTATCATCTCAAGAACAAGAACCTACAGGTGTCTGGTTGTTCGGAACTTGTTCTGCTGAATCTATGTCTGATGGATAGGTGAGAAGGGTCTTCACGCAACAACCAGTGGGTTTTTACACACAGTATTTTTGTGACCGTTGGTCACCTTCTTTAGGGCAACAATGATAAAGAAAGTGACAGACAGTCACCAAAATATTGGATGTGAAAAACTACTGACTGTTGAATTAAAAACGTTCTCATACAATCTCTTGCCATCCTGATGAAAATTATTAATGGCAGTTCTATTAACATTTCTGTTTCCTCTGTTTGCCTTACAGTCAGACATATTCCCTGACAAGAACCACGGTGGAAGGATGTTCTACAACGAGGCCATCTTGTCGTCCCTGGGTATCCCGCAGGTGTCTGTCGTGGTGGGGTCCTGTACAGCAGGCGGTGCGTACATCCCCACCATGACTGACGAGGCTGTTATCGTCCGCAGAATGGGCACCATTTTCCTGGGAGGACCCCCGCTGGTCCAGGCTGCTCTGGGGGAAGTAGTCAGTGCAGAGGAGCTGGGAGGGGCCATGATGCATAGCAGGTTGGTTGGAAGACTTTTGTAGCTGACATCTTGTGCAACAGAATATTAAGGCTTTTCTGACAGACCCAGGGCACCAATGTAACTTGTTTAGAACGTATCCCACAGTAATTATGAAATAAAGACTAAACTTAAACTGCCAACTCTACAATGAATTGGGACTTACCCCAAAATTGTTGTGTTTGTACTTAATTGTAGTGTTGGCAGTTAAAGTTTAGTCTTTATTTCATAATTACTTGTACCAACACAGATGAACTTTCATGCTAAGCATCCCACTAATGCTTAACATTTGTAGCCTGGGTGCCATCCTCCGTAGTCAACCCTGGCTCCCTATTGTTGCTTTGTGCCATCCTCTTTATTTACGGCCGGCTCCCTATTGCCGCTGACTCCGTAATTTTCAGTCATACCAAAGAAAGTAGTACGTATTAATCTTGCAAGTCAGTCAACCCTTAATTTCTTACTCCAGTATAAGTGGCTGCACAGATCACTATGCAGAAACAGAGCTGGAAGCCTTTGAGATGGTGCGGGATATCGTGGCAGGTTTGAACCGACCAATGGCTGAGTACCTCCACAGCCATGACGGGGTACCCATGGAGGATTCACTGCGCCCGCTCTCAGAGCAGCACCACAATTATGAGCACCCCCTGTATCCAACAGAGGAACTGCAGGGACTGTTACCAGGAACAGAAAACTTTGATATTTACAAGGTGATAGATAGAGTGTATGCAGTGTCTTTGTGTTTAATTTTTTCTTTTCATACCCGGGGTCTTTCATTCTCATGATCTTCTAGTTTTGGTGGTTAGTAGAAAGTGTAGAAAGATCTTTAAAATGTGAATTGTGTAGAGTAATGTTTTGATATACAATGTACACATGTATATTGTTCCAGTATTGATAACTTCACAATCTTGATAATCTGTATACTTTCTCTTTGGTTCTTATTAGGTTATAGCTAGACTAACTGATGGAAGTAGATTCCATGAATTCAAACACAAGTATGGAACATCGCTTGTTACTGGATTTGCATTTATCCAGGGGTGAGTAGTTCTCAAAACTTACAACTTCTATCATCACCACCCTCCCACATTGTAGTTAATTGAAATTAAGAAATAAACTAGAAAAGTAACATTTGCAAAGAATGTTTACCTTCGCATATAGCTAGTCTGCTCTGTTGATTCATACTCAAACACATTCATATATATGGTGACAGGAGTCTAAAGCCCTGCTGCTATAAAATTGCAACATGATATAACCCAACACTACTTACCATGGTAGCAGCTGGCTGGTTCAGGTCATTTACCTTTTGTGTTTGAAGAAGAGGAAACTGAGCAAAAACAATATGTTTTCCTTCGGTAAATAAATCATTACAATTTATACAATAAATGTATGACAGATATCCCACTCTCTTCACAGTCATCTGGCTGGGATTGTGGCCAATAATGGACCACTTTGTGAACGAGGGGCATTAAAAGGAGCTCACTTTACCCAGTTGTGTGCCCAGAGAGCCGTACCAATGATCTTCCTGCAAAACACGTCATGTGACCAGCCAACAGCCAATAACGTAACAGAAGCTGCCTCCCTCAGTAATAGACTAAAGGCTCATGGGAAGATGGCGTCAGCTGTGGCCAGTTCTTTGGTGCCCAAAATCACTCTGATCCTTGGAAATGGTGTCGGACCAGAAACAATACCAATGGTTTGTATGATTATGATTCCCTCTCATTGCACTTCCATTCAATATCAGACAGTTTTAGAATGTTGCTTGTAACACTCAGCTTTTTTCCATTCATGAATGACAAGATTTTCTGTCTTCTTTGCAGTGTGGACGGTCATTTTCTCCAAGGTTCCTGTTTGTGTGGCCCAATGCAAAGGTGGGAGTGACAGATGTACAGGAGGCAGTACAGGCAGCTGTGAAGGTGAGTTAATGCATTTTTGAATTAATTAATGCATTTTAAATGAATTGATTGATTGATCGATTGATTGATCGATCAATCGGTTGATTGTTTGATTGATCGATTGATTGATCGATCGATCGATTGGTTGATTGATTGATTGATTGATATTTATATGTACTTACAGGCAAAGTTTGGTGATGTGGAAAGTGAGGAGAGAGAAAAATTCCAATCAAAGATGGCAGCAAGGTAAGAATCATTCTGATGACCTTCTTTAAAAATCTTATAGAATGTCTCAGAGATAGTGTAAAAGGTCTTACAGATACTGTGGAATTTCTTAGAGATACTGAGGAAAGTTTTTGGTATCTTATGGAATAGAGCTATATTCGGGAGGGTCACAGATACCTAAGTGCTGTGGTTAGCATGTTTGAAAATGGGTCTTCCCTGCTGCCTAACCCCATAACCTATACAAACTTGGTGCCAAATGGATATCTTAGCAAGCTGAAGGTTAAAGCATATTCAAATGTGTAGACATGCCTTTTATGTTGAAACAATTTTGGGTCTGGAATTTTTGCCCCCCTCCCACCCCAGGTTATCCCAGCAGACCAGTGCCTTCTACTCCAGCAGCAGAGTGTGGGATGATGGGATAGTTCTGCCTCAGGACTCAAGGAGGGTGGGTGGATGTTTTAGACATCAGATTTTATGTCAACTTTATTTCAGGACTCATTATTTAAATTACATAAAATAAGATAAAGTATTAGAAAGGTAACATTGTCAAAGCAAATTAATAATGTTTACCTTCACATATGGTCTGCTCTGTTAATTCTCACTCAAACACATTCATGTATATAGTGACAGGAGTCTAAATCCCTCCTGCTATAAAATTGCAGCATGATGTACACCACTAGTTACCATAGTGACAGACATCTGGTTCGGGTCATTGACCTTATTGGTTCGGAGAAGAAGAAGAAGAGGAAACAGAGCAAAAACAATATGTTTTCCTTTGGTAAACACAACAAGCAACACATACAAATTCAGACAATATGTCACCTTCATTTCAGACTATATAATGTAGTAGAACAGCTGAAAGTAGTTCCTGCATTATGTATTCATGTGCCACCTGTCAGATATCTTAACATCTATTTCATGTTGTTCATAAGTAGCTTACTCAATGCTTGTTTCAAAGGATTGCCTCTCAAATTGCCAATTTATTATGCATGAAGGATATGCTATATCAGGCAAATCTTCTATCCTGTAATAGTTGAATAGAGACCATCATCATCTATTTTTAATATTGGATGTTTAGAGTAATGATAGCTTAGATAGATCTTGGTGTTGAAACATATTTCATTCTTTTGAGATGAAAAGACCACAATAGCTTTGTTTCACCATAATATTGATGTGTTACAGATACTGGGACAGTGCCTGAGAATAGTCCACAGCACACTGGATACAGCAGATGCAACAGAAAGGCGCAAATTTGGGGTCTTCAGGATGTAAATAGTAAATGCTTGTGCTACATACAATACTCTGAGTGCAGCTTAAAATTTTGTGAGTTTAGGTAATTAAATTACCCTGTAGAGATGGATTAATTTAATGTTGATTTGATGTTGATTTTGAGTGGTGAAAGCATTGAAAAGATGTTATAATTGTTACATTGTTGAGAGATGTATGTATAGACTACATACTTATTGGTAGGTAGATGAAAATGGCTTATAAGTCACCAACACTGTGATATAGAAATACTGCACTAGAACAATACTATTGTCAAAGTGGAAGAAAGCGCTGCATACCTTACAGAAAGTTTATATTTTCACATTTGTTTTCCCTTTCTACCTTACTGTACATGATGCATGTGTAAAGAAGCAACCTAGAGAGAAAATGAAGCCTCCAGTGTGTTCCTGGTCACCCAAATACCTCTAACAATTCTTTTTCCACTAAGATTTTTTCTTGGTACATGTACCAGAGGCAACAGGCATGGTCATATGATCCTGTGGAAACTCATTACTCATAACATAACTGATTTACTGGTTTTATATGATTATTAGCTATCATATCATATCATATCATATCAGATGGAACTGGCTATTTGATTGCTTGACCACAGTCATCTACTATAAACTGTACTCAAATCTACCACCCATTCGACACTGATATAAAGGCTAGCTGGTGTAAGTGTTGTATATATTATTCATTATTGTTATACTGTCTATGGTAAGACAAAGACTTCCCACAAGCCCCCTGACCGATGATGAACTCATTTCATTAAAAGAAAAACTTGAAAAAACTGCTGAAGTATTTTCTCTGTAGCTACCAATGTAATGCAATATCCTCTATGCATATGGCCCTATATTCAAGGAGACCCATTTTTGAACTTGACCTTGGTCTCCTTAACGGTAACTTGCCTACCAAAAATCATGAACATCCATTTACATATACTAGTACTCGAGTTATCCTGCTAAAAAACGACAAACACAAAAGGTCCACTGCAGTAACCTCCCCCCCAAGGCCCACATTTTAACTTGACCTTGGTCTCCCCAAATTAAGGTAAACTGCCTGCCAAAAATCATGAACATCGAACCATGCCTTCAACTAGTTCAAGAGTTATGCCGCATGGTCTCCCACACTATAGCAAGGCGATTTTATAGCCTTCTGACGAAGGCAAATATGTAAACATTGGCATGGAGCCACAGGGACGTAACCTGTATTACGTGCTAGCGGCCGTTAACTTAGAGGACGTCACTATTTTAGAAACAGTCAAGGACGTTAGTAAAACGCGGCCCCAGTGATTCTCTGCCAAGGGTACAGAGTTTGGGTGGTGAGCCAAAAATCTTTTGAGAAAGGGGAAAAGACGTAACTCCTTTTGCCCATCTCTCAGCTGAATGTTTTAATCTGTGTCCCATAAAAAGTCTCTTTCTTTGAGAGAAAAGAGACAGACATTGATCAAAGGGCCGGCAAAGTCATTACCATCTGCAGGGCTGGGCTAACTGTTTTTGATCGAGGACGCTTCATTTACAACATACTACTCCCTTACTTCAGCTTTGAGATGTCAGGTTTTATAGCATACGTGTACAAGAATACGTAAACTCAGGCACTGATCAAGCTTTCAAAGGGTTTGGCAAAGTCAGTTCCATCTGTTTTGCTGGATTACAGATGGCTTCACGTAAAGATGCCTTATATACGAGGCAAACGTGGCGTACGTGCAAGTTGTGCTTCAGTGATTGCCGCCTAATGATCATATACGTACCGTGACGTCAGAGAGACAGACGTTTTAGACAGGAGGCGGACGACTACAAAACGACATCAGTGTGGTCAGGTCCCGCCTGAGCCGGCTGCACGGATTTTATAGGGGATCTGTTCAGCTGAGCTATCAACAAATTGGTCTGCACGTGGGACACAACAGGTACAAGGTGACAAGAAAAGAAGGTACGAGTTTATTTCTAGGTGTTGTGTATTTTGTAATTTACAAATTCACCAGTTGAGCGTGTTTAATTCTGTCATTGTGATAGGTGACAGGTAGCCACAGTCCGGTACGGTTCACAAGAACACTACGGAAATATGTGTGAAATGTTTCGATTTCTTGGTATGTTAGCACAGCGTGTATGAGAATCACAATAATGATGGTTTTGCGTTTCTGTGGCGTAGGTGATATTTAAAGCGCCCTCCCCACACCGAAGGCTTGGTACTAGTATTCATGCCATTTGCACAAAACAAAAACTCATTTATCAGCCGCAATCAAATCTATCTGCTTTATTGAAGAGAACTAATGAAAACCTTTTAAGCACCGCATTACCAGTAACAGTTCTTGTAAAACAAAAGGGGCAATCTGAATGCTAATTTCTTATTCGGTTTTCGCGACGGTTTTCAGTGTAAAAGTCAAACTGGTCTATAACAAAATCCAACCGATTCTGTATAATGTCCTTGATCCAATTGAAATGCCATTGCTTCCTATCTTGTATCCTGGCGAATAATGTCAAGTTGTAGTTTGCTTTTGTGATCACTAGTCTAGATAGTAGTAGTAGTTTTCCTTCTAATCATGTGGGTAAGCCAATAAGCCAGCTGCGAGGTTGTAATTTCCAACTTGATTACAAATAGATTAGTGATTTTATATGGTAAATGTACGTATCTAATCATACTACTGTATCAAACTCTGTACCACAATGTTATTACAGAATATTGAAAATGTTTTTCTGAGATTTTCTCTGCTTTGATGCGTCAAAGATAGCGTAAGCGTGACCTTCTGCCATTTAAAGAGACAGATTGTTTTGTACCATACGGAGAGGTACCGGTCATGGCTATATGAAACATATTGGAATGTCAATACAGGAAACACGCTATCGCATACTCTCCAAGCAGATCTAAAGGTGTGGATTTTGGGTTATTTTTGGCGTGTTTTTAGGCTTTTTTATCGGAGTTTCTTTTTTGCACTGGAATTTTTTAACGCTGGGTTGGGTAAAAAAAATCCCAGTGCGAAAAAACACACACCCACGATAAAAAAAAGCCCCAAAACACGCCAAAAATAAACCAAAACCTCTGCTTGGAGAGTAGCTATCGCATGCAGACACATTCAGTGCCCTGTATGGTAGTATATATTATCGGGGCATCACGTAGCACTCAGAGTACGTGAGCTCCGGGGTTTCTTAACGACGGTGAAAGGTGTCATTGACCTTGGAGTCTCGTAGCTAGTCATGTGTGGGTTCGAATTCCCGCGGGACTACTCTGGCTGTCAAGGTGACTGCGGACATGTTTGAATAGGGATGATGTATATGTGTCTACCGTGGTTGGAATTTTGCCAAAACTGAGAGTCTATTAAGGGGTAGACCAGGACGAGTCGTCGGGAGGATCGAGGTAGTCTACTGTTTTTCGAAAAATCCAGTTATCAGCAATGACTATGTTTTCTGTTCTGTACATGGTTGTTAGCCTCTATCAGGCTTCGGGAGGTGGTTGGAAAGAGCAGAAATCGACCAACTAGAGAGATAGCATGCCAAGGGAGTTTTGTCCGTGGAGAGAACAGTTCGCCGCTTGACATGCTATCTCCCTATTTGGCCAATTTCTATTCTTTCCGGCCGCTTCCCAAAGCCTGGTAGAGGCTACATGGCTGTATTATTTCGCCTACCTCCTTCCTCTGCGCGCCAACGGTATACGGCGCGCTCCCAGTACCTTAAAACATGTACATGTAACCCCCATCCCTTTTATATAGTCTTGTACATATGGAGCTGACATATGTGAGTCGCCCCGATTTGCGCGGGTCAAAATCTAAATCATCCCACAGTCATTCATAGCATCTAAACCACTGCCCCTCTAATCTCCAAGCAGATCATACGGTGGCAAGGCAGTATCCATTGGCCAGAGGAGTGTCCATTACTTCCCCCCCTCCCAAGGCCAATGGATACTGCTTTCCCACCGTATGATCTGCTTGGAGATTATGCCTCTCAGCTCTTGCCACTAGGCCGATCGAGAGAAGGATCATTAACTTTAGTTGATCACGTTGTCATTGAGTATTAATTAGTCTTAGCAACGTGCCGAGATGTCACGTTGGACAGTTTAACATCTGCCGACATCCCAAAGCGAACTCAAAGGCGCACGTTGCTCTCCCGTCTTGATTACTAGTATCCCCATTGACGTAAGAAACGTGGCACGTGTTGCGCCGAGAAGACGTCTCACGTTGCAGAAATCGATGAATTCAAGTCTGCTGCTTTATACTTGAGAACGTGTGCCGGTGCGTCAGTAGCCACGTGGGAGTATGCAGCATTACCGGTAAGCGCTTCACTTCAATGAAAATGCAGACCGGGCCCACAGACAAACTGGTGATGGTGACCTGATGTACAGTGTACACTACCCAAAGCACAAGCAGGGAGGGTACATTGTTCGCAAAGTTCTGGAACAGCCATCCTTTGGTGTGTATAATAGCAAAATGAGTGAAGAAAATTCTGCTCCTGATTTCAAATTTTAGTTTCTTTTGGGGTTTTCTTATACCATGGCCTTATTTTGCATTATGTTGTATGTTTATTTTGCATTATGTTGATAGAAAATTAGCATCATTAGACAGGGGTAGCCTTCTTAAAATGTTTCAATATGTTCACCCACTGCCAATGATCATAATATATAATTATGATGATAGCATATGTTTATTTGTCACCTTTTTTCATTCCTTCATGTTGTAAACCCACAGGAGCTAGAGTTCTGGCACCAAACCTAGGCATCTGAAGTTCTAGTACATCTAACCCTTGCAAGAGCACCTCTAACCGTCACGAGAGCACTTTTGTTTGTTT